GACGTGTTGCTGCTGAAGGTGACTGATGATTTTTGAAGATTCACCTTTTGGCCGCTAACCTGCTGCTGGTAAGAAGCAAACAAGGCAAGGAGATTATGGCATTCAAGGATAGAAACTCTTAAGAATAAGTAAGTATCATAAGCAAAAAGAAGATGTGATATCACCGGACATCGCCAATGAATTTTCATGTCATGGAGGAATTGAGCTTGTAGCGCCTGTTCAATGAAATGGGAAAACCCTTCAGTGTAGAGAGCAAACATCAATGGAGATAAAGGATCTCCTTGTCGTATGCCTCGTTCAGGATGGAAGAAACCATGGGGAGAACCATTAATTAAGACAGAGAATGAAACAGTTGAAACACATTGTTGTATCCAATTCAACCAAACATCACAAAAGCCCAAACGATGTAACAATGAAAATAGGATTTCCCATTCTACCCTATCATAAGCTTTTTCCATGTCTAGCTTTAAGGCCATCCATTTTTCATGCCCAGAAGTCTTAGTTTTCAGAAAATGATGAACTTCCGGCCCAATAAGTATGTTGAGATTAATCGACCCTTTATAAATCCATTTTGCGAAGGACTTACTACTCGCAGGAGGATAGAAGCAAGACGAGTTGTCAGGACCTTAGAATCACCTTGTAAGGGACTTGGCATATTCCGATTGGCCGCATTTGTCTCAAGGTATCTGCGTTTGGGACTTTGGGCTGAAGAGTGATCCAAGTGTGGTTAAAGTTAGGCAGAAGGTGTCCTGAAACGAAAAAGTCCTGGACTGCAGCCACAACTAGATCACCTACTAGACCCCAAAAGGATTGAAAGAAAATACCGATGAAACCATTAGAGCCGGGGGCCTGATAACTACCTATACTGAAAACAGCAGAGCGAATGTCATCTCTAGTAATGGGGGCAGTTAGTATAGCATTCATATCATTAGTAATTAGTACGGGCAGCCTTAGGCAGTCTAAGAAGGACTGGATATTCAAACGTTCAAAAGTGAATTGATTGATAAAGTATTGTACAGCAAGCATACCTTTTTCCGTCTTCTTCGGAATGTTTGACTCTATTGTAATCTTGTAATGTTAGGATCCTGTTTTTCCTTCGCTTCTTCAAGGTAGTAAGATGAAAGAATCTCGAGTTGGAGTCTCCTTCTGTTAGCCAATGCGTCCGGGATTTTTTATACCAATGTATCTCCTCTTGGATATAGGCTTCAGTGAGTTGTTGTTCCAGTTGGCTGATGGTATCCCAGATTGCCGCCATTCCGAGTTGAGTATGCCAGCAACTTCGAGGTTATCGATCCAGCGAGAATCAAAGTGGAAGTTGGCCTTCGTACGAGCTGCTGTTGGATGAAGCTGTAACAAAATCGTCAGATCCAAGGTCGGATAGGTGGTGAATTCGCATACCTTCCCAAGTTGTGAGTGCTGATGGAGATGATAGACAACGATCAAGGCGCTGCATGATGTGATCTTGTGGTGATTTGCGGTTCGACCATGTAAAAGGGGGACCAACAAATCCTAAATCATGTAAGTTATGTTGGACAAGAAAGTTCTGTAACAAAGATAGTGAATGGGGGGTTGGGGGTCGACCACCAACTTTTTCAGATGATGCCAACAGACAATTGAAATCACCCATGAGGAAGAAGGGAGAAGAGAAAGACAAGAGGTAAGTAGATATCACTCTCATTAAAACTCAGATGGACAAACACGATTGCAAAGAAACTGTAGACTTGGTGGATACAATCCACGACTAAGAAGGAAGAACAATGATAAAGAACTGTACAATCTATTTCAGTAGTCCAAACTAAAGTCATGCCTCCTGAAGGGTTTACGGGACTCACGAGAACAGAATTAGGGAAGCCTAGACGAGTAAGACGCGATTTAACCTTCCTATCACGACACTTTGTTTCACTAAGAAAGACAATCATAGGGGATCTACTAAATATGGCATTCAACAGGGATCTACGCGCCAAGGATTTGCCAAACCCTCGGCAGTTCCAGGCCAAGATGCTCAAATCTGGGATTGGGACCGAGCAAGGCCGCTTTCCTCCACCTGAATAGTATCAGTAGCTATGGGTTGTACGCCTGCAGTGTCCTCCACGCAAAGAACCTTGGAAGCAGGTGGGATTTCACCCTCCTCCAGCAATCCCCGCTTGCGTGGATTTGGATCAGTTGGCGAAGAGGATGAGACCCCAGGAGCAGCTCTGAGAGATAACCGTTGCAGCCCTGAAGTGTTGCGGGCAGGTGAATCACCAGCCCTCTCCGTGTCATGACAGTTCCAGGAGAAACGAGCAATCTTCTTGCGCAGAGTGTGCTCATCCACACTAGGACCTTTGTCAAAAGCCAGGATGTGTTTGCTGTAGGGGAGGTCGTTCCCATTCATCGTATCTTTGAGATCGCAGTGAGCACTGGTGTGTCCTAAAACACCACAGAAAAAGCAAAAGAGAGATAGTTTTTCATAATAGACTGAAACTTTGAATAGCCCCTTACTGCGATCTTCGTGAGAGGTCGTGACCGAGAGAGGAAGTGGGCGGTTGATATTGATGGACACTTTCGCCCGAAGGTAAACTTCACTCGTTTTGCGGCCAACATGGACAGCAGCTTCCTTCAATTCTCCCATTGTGGAGACTAAGCATCGAGCCATTAGCAGGGTGTGGCCTGAAGTAGGGACCTTCCAGAACTGAACCCCCAGAGGGACGTGGGAAAGAGATTCAGCAACCTCAGAAGTTGGGACACACCAGGGGCGCAGATGAATCAAGAAGCGCAGTTGAATCCATGGTGACTTGTCTCAAACGCGGCAGTGATCCGAGGTATGGGTGAAGATGAATTGAACGAGGCCCTCGTCCACCGATAGCACCGTGATGGAGCCGCGACAATCAGCGGCGGATCCAGAACACAGAAGAGCACTGGGCCGCATTTCATTAGAAAATTAGAACCGTAAAAAAATATAATGATTATAGTTTTTTGCAATCTAAACTGTACATTACTGTATTTTAATTTAGGGAATGCATCAAGGAGTCTACATCCATACTAATAGTATACACTGTTTCAAATAAAATACTTGAGCAATCGGCGAGAAAATCATCACTCATTTTGTTGAGTAAATCAGTTCTTGCATGTTTCATTGTTGAAAAGGTTCTCTTCGTAGTAGCTGTTGAAACGAGCAACATCAACACTAGATAAATCAATCTACTAATCAATTTGCATTGTGTGTCCATCCCTGCACAGTAGCTGCTCTAGTAAATTTTTAAGGGAACAAACCTCATATTTCTTTTAGTCTTTTACGTTTTAAACTTTTTAGGATTTTAGGTTTCTTTGTTTTTTTTAGATGCATAATCTTTGGGACTAAAATTTCTAGGCTAAATTTAGAGTAGTGATTTGAATATGTTCAACTTGATAATTTTTCTAGTTAAACCCAATCATATCATAAAATAACATTGGGTCGAATGTTTAAAATCGAAAATTTTATAAGTACTATACTAACTACGGATCCAGAGGCGGGCTGGGCCGGGGCCCGGGGTGGCCACCCCCTGAATCCGCCAGTGGCGACAATTCCATTGATCCACAAGAAAATTCTGCAGGCTGCCAAGGGAAGGAGCAGAGACATGAATCTTGCCAAGGAGACTAAGCTCAGCCCTCTCTTCAGCGACAACAACAGCTTCATCATTGTAAACAGAAAATAGTTCAGCAACCATTAGAGGATGATAGGTAGGGTTCGACCCAACAGAGATGAAAAGAGTAAGGGGAAATCGGTGAGTCAATACTTGGGAAACGAGGAGCATCGACGCCTTAAATGGCCGATTGAAGAACCCATGAGGGAGCCAAACCACCCGGAAGCGGAGGCACTTCGCCGGAATTCGCGAGATGGAGGTCGCACGTCGGCGAGGATTGGGGGTGGAAACCGCCCGTCGTGGAATCCTCCAATTAATTCCTCCCCACTCCTCCCTTTAATTCCTTCTTTAATCCCTAAAATCCGATCCAAAATAATCACATCCCTTGTCCAATTAAATTCCTTTCCAAAGAGAACTGGACCAAATAATTCCGCCATTCCTTGTCCAAGGTGGAAATGAAGAGGGAATGGGCCGCTGGCCCATAAGCTGTTGTTGCCTCTGTCTATATCAACGAATATGGGTTGGTGAATCGGCCCGTTCAGCTGGAGTGAGGTTAAAATTGAAACTTGTCAATGCCTATGCAAATTCCTGTTGAACTTTGCATAAGTGGCACTAAAAAGCAAAAAGTGTACAAACACACCACACACTTGATAATGACACAAGGTCATTCCATGGTTAATTCGAACCAAATCTCTATCATTTTCATCACATAACACACACTAAAATCATCATATGGCAATCTAATGCATGCATATGTATGGCACTTATTAGCGAGCATAGTTTGGGGTAGGTTTATTATAGGTCGACGACAAAGAAAGAATCGGCCGATCGAATATGAGGAAATGATTTTTATTTGGTTGTTAGTTTTGTTGGTAGCGAGCAGAGGAAGAAGGCGAAATAGAAGATGAATGGTCAGTTATGGTTGCTTTCTTGCGCTTGAAGTTGTCGCCTCCTACACTTCGCGTAATTGATGGGTTTTTGTAAAGGCACCGGTGGCAGGGTAGTGCAGGTGTTAGACTATGAGGGATTAGGGATTCAACGTGGTTCTAGTTTGGAGCGTCAGAGTAGGACAGAATAAAGTGGGTGATCGCCGGCGAGGGCACATCAGGTTAGGAGTGGTGTTGAAGACGCAACGGGATTAGGGATGGCAATGGGTCGGGTTGGGTTTTGTCAAACCCAAACCCATGGGTTTATCCGTGAAAAAACCCGGGGTAAAACCCACTAGGTTTGAAAAACTCAAACCCAACCCAACTCGCTGGGTATCCGCGGGTTCATGAGTGCCCACGGGTTTTTGTCGTAAAAAAATTACAATAACAAGTTCCTATCAAAATTAAAGTCAAATATCAATCTCCCAATATAAATTATCCATATATAAGACACCATTCTAGAAAATTCAAGCAAATTACAAATTAACTATACAAATTGTTCAACACCAATCTAGAAAACTCAAGAAAGTTGAAGCAAATCACAAATAATCCGTAAATAACATGATTAATTGAAAGTTTCTTCCTTTCAATTAAGTTTCTTCACTCTCCACTCGATAACATGATTATCCATAAATAACATGATTAAGTGTCCGGGTCTCTCATTGCCAAGGCTTTCAATTTAACGCAGTTCAGCAGCTCGGCATGGCTAGGATCATCCATCGAATCTGCTATCGGTATCATTGGAGAAGACAAGCAGGTATTACTGAATTCCCTTATGCTTATTCTCCAGCTTCTGCCGCAGCTCCTCTCTCGACCTACTTCTCCTCCAATCCAATTAGTCCTCGGACCTCCAATTCTGTAACTTTCGCCAGCATAGATGATGCCTTGGATTCATTTAATAGGATGCTCCACATGAACCCTAGACCCTCAATTGTGAAATTTTCTCAGTTGGTAAATTCTCTTATGAGAATGAACGCCTTCCAGGCTGCCTTGTATGCGTCTAAACAAATGGAAGTAGCTGGATTCCACCATGATCTTCACACGCTGAGCATGTTGCTTCGTTGCTTCTGTAAATTGGGTCGAGTGGATTTTGGCTACTCAGTTTTGAGCAAAGCTTTGAAACTCGGTGTTCAATTCAACGATGTAATGCTCAGTACATTGATTGATGGGCTCTGTAAAGTTGGGAGAGTAATCGAGGCTGCAAGGTTGGTTCATAAGATTAGGATTTTGGGTTATCATCCGGATGCTTTTTCTTATACCACAATTATAGATGGATTATGCAAGGTAGGGCAAACGAGTGCAGGACTTGAATTGCTCAAAAACATGAAGGAGTTTGGCTGTCAACCTGATGTCGTTAGTTATAACACAGTCATTAGCAGCCTATGTAAGGATGGGATGGTATCAAAGGCTTTTGATGTTTTTTCAGAGATGAAGGATGAAATGATTCAACCAAATGTGTTCAGTTACAATAGCTTGATTGCTGGTTTGTGCATTTCAAGCACAATCAATGAAGCTATGAAGTTACTCAATGAAATGGTAGAGAGGAAGATCATGCCCAATACAGTTAGCTATTCCACATTGGTTGATGCTTTTTGCAAGGAAGGAAATGTTTTGGGAGCTAAAGTTATACTCAAAGTAATGTTTCACAGAGGATTTCTTCCAGATGTCATCACTTACACTTCATTGATGAATGGATACTGTTTGCGCAATGAATTAGACAAAGCTAGAAAGTTATTTGATTTCATAGTCAATAAGAGATGTGAACCTAACGTTTACTGTTATAATATCATGATTCACGGATATTGTAACAATGGAAGGATGGATGAAGCTGAAGAATTACTTAATGATATGCTTGAGAAGGATTTGGCTCCGGATACAGTCACGTATACTACTATGCTAAATGGATTTTGTCAAGCACGGAGGCTTAAAGATGCACGACAAATTCTCAATAAAATGAGTGGTCAGGGTTGTTCCCCGAATAATGTGACATACAATAGCTTGCTTGATTACTTTTGTAGACAAGGTCAACTAGACGGTGCATTAGCTCTATTTCAAGTAATAGAAAATAGTAGGTTGAAGTCTGATATTACAGGGTACAGTATCCTTATGGACGGGCTGTGGAAAGCGGGGAGGGAAAAGGAAGCTAGGGAAATGTTTTCTAGGCTCTCTAGAGACAAGTTTTTGCAACCTGATACCCGCGCATATACCATTACAGTTGATGGACTATGCAGACAAGGTTTTGTCGATGAAGCATATGATCTGTTCAGGAAAATGGAGGGGGATAGTTGTCTACCAGATAGTTGCTTTTACAACGTGATTATTCATGGATTTCTTCGCCATAAGGATCCCCTTGAAGCAATAGACCTCATTCATGAGATGGTTTCGAAAGGTTTCTCAGCCGATGCAACCACCATGTCTTTGCTAATAGAATTGTTGCCCAGGAATCAGTTGGATCATCCAATATTCCAGAAGCTATTGAATGGTCCTGATATCAAGAGTCATAAAATAGGGTCTAGTGGTCTATCAGTTGCTGCAACTCAAGGAACTAGCTGAAATTCTCATCCAAATGCCAGTTGCATGATCCTTTAATTGATCAAAATCTCCCGGCTTGGAGAAGATTCTGAAGATAGAAGATAGCTGGAACTAACGGTCCGATTCATGATCCTTGTCATCCCACTTACATATTGTTGATTCTGTCTGCTGTACAAATGAGCTCCGATCCCTGTACGTTTCTGTCCATGTTTGATGCATTAGTATGTGCCGAACCTGTTTCTGATTATTGTTTAGAGATATGAAGCTCGCTTGTCTAGCAACATAACTATGTATTTGCGACAAAGGCCAAAGCCTTGAATGGAACTCTAGGGTTCTGCTTCTGTCAAGAAGAAGCAATGTTTGGTTACCCATTTTTGGACTTCACTCATCTGAATGAGATAGTGATCAACCTTCAAATGAAGCTTGTGTTAGGAAGTATTATGTATACTGGTTAAATGGTCAGCGCTTTGCGGCTATGTTAATTTTGCTGAATATGAATCTACTTTCAATCCTACTTTAAATGAATTGCAATTTGGAACTCAGGAATCGATAAAAACCAATTTTAAGGGTGGTGTTTTGTTTATTGAACTTCAAACCAATTTTATCAGTGCTCCTTTTTCGTTCAACGTCCTACTTGGTTAGAGACTTTGCTACTTCTTTCACCACTTCTTCCACATTCCAATTCCTGCATTCTAAAATCTGAAAGACAGTTGCAGCAGCTGAACCTTTGCGTGAAGTGATCAAAGCAAGTAATAATGAGTACAACAAATGTCATGATAAACATGAACCGGACTCCAATAGCAGAGAGCAAGTAGGCTTTCAAATTGCCAAGGTTCCAGCTACTCCGAAAAAGACCAACCATGGGCGCCCTTAATCGATCTGTTGATTCGAGCGCGCTTAGGTGTATACAACCACGATGCTAACCCTCAAAGTTCACAGTTGTATGCTCGAATGAATACGATAAATTCTGTTTCTCATCATAATCGATGCATTTCTGTCAATCTCTTCCGTCCACTGTTCTCTGATATTTACGCAATCCTTAGATTGAGATGACAAAAAAGAGAGCTGCTTATGTCATTTTCAAGTTCTGATATTTCAATTAAAGTCACAAAAAATGCCCAAATCAATGTTGGGTCTGGTATTTGGGATTTTTAATAGCTGTGTTTGAGTCTGGTTATGGAGCCATTATGTGAGTCATGTTAGTTGAAAAGCTTTTAGCTCAAGTGTAGAGTCAAATGTAGGAAGTTTGTTAGTAGTGGGCTGGAAACCAGAAAATGAGGTTGAATCCTCATCGAATCTATTGAGCGCTTTTAACCCTTGCACAGCCTTGAAATTTCATCCTCAGCGAATCCTAATGTTCCTTGTTTGTTGCCTTGTGACCAATAGTTTTCAGGGCTGTCTTATTGTTAGAACTACGGTTCTTTAGGGTTTTAAATAAGAATTAGAGTTTGAAACTGGGATGAATAGAATTGAGGATTTAAGAATTTAGAAGAAGAAATTGGAGATCGTAATGAAGAATGTACCTACGTCCTTTGAGGTAGGTGACGAATTGAGAGAAGAGAGATTAGAGTTTTAAGGAATAACTTGGACAATACTTTTCTTGATTAATTGAATGATTCTGAAGTAATTCCCAAAGAATATATATATAAAAAATAAATTGGAAAAGTACGACTACAACATAAATCCTAATAATAACTATATTTCTATCGCTTATAAAAAAACCGAACCAATAGTTAGGTCCTTCAACCTCAAGTTGTCCAGATTCTTGCTTTGCACTTCTGTCAATTTTGCTTCAACTTCTATTGTAGGTTCACCTGAAGCCCTTTCTAACCACTCCCCATAACTCTTTATATCTATGTAGTTTTCCATAAGTAGGCTCCAATGATTGTAATCCTCGTCAAATCGAGGAACACACACTTGCATAAAACCTGATGCTTCAGTTATATTCACTGCTCAAAATTCCATATCAGTCGAACCTTTAATATCTGCGGCTCACAATCACTCATTTTTCTCTCATCCCACAATACTAATCTCATATGAACTCTCATATTTCCCAAACCCACTATGAACTTAAGACAATAACTCTTTAATATGCACTCACAGACTAAACTTGGTACAACAATATGCCAATGCTCTGATACCGCAACGTGAGCAATATTATAGAAAAATAACAAGCTTTTATTGATTATGACATGAGTTTAAATACAAGATCAAACTCTTCACTCAGCTTACCTACAACCCAAACCCACCATTTTCATGTTTTCAAGCTACTATCTCTAAGAAATTTATTAACTCTAAAAACTCCTAAGCTTGACTGCCAAGCTTGAACTCTTTCCCTACTAATAGCTAACAACGTAAATTGTACTCAAAAGTTTGGGTACCAAACAACAAAAGAACAAAACGACAAAGGGAGGAGAAGATGAAGTTTCATAGAGAGATGAGGAGTTTAGAGTCACTCGGAGACAGCGGATTCAAAGTGTAAATTTAGGAGGGAACACGATGGTGTACGAGTCGCCGGTCCAGCAGCTGGGGTTCAACATGTCGGAGAAGTTGTATGGGGGCAGAGAGGCCCCGGCGGCGCTGGAAGGCAGAGTTCCAATCAAGGGATTTGGGGAAAATATGCAGTTATGCTACCAAACAAGCGAGCTACGTTCTAAACAATAATCACAACTAGCTTGAAAACACACTAATGCATCAAACATGGATTATCATCTATTCCCATGCCAACATTGATCGGTTCTTTCTGATATATCAGCAAGTATGGAAACACATATAAGTGGGATGATGACTCAGACCTCTAGTTCGTATAACCTTCTATCATCAGAATGTTCTTGACACAGAGATTTTGATCAACTACTGGACCATCCAACTGGAGTTTGGATGAGAATTTCAGCAAGTTCCTTGAGTAGCAGCAGCTGATAGACCGCCAGACCCAATGTTATGACTCCTGATATCAGGACCACTCATAAGCTTCTGGAAAATTGGATGATCCAACTGATTCTTGGGCAACAATTCTATTAGTAATGTCATCGTGGTTGTGTCTGCTGAGAAGCCTTTTGAAACCATCTTGTGAATGAGGTCGATTGCTTCAAGAGGATCCTTATGTCGAAGAAATCCATGAATAATCACGTTATAACAGCCACTATTTGGTAGACAACCATCCCCCTCCATTTTTCTGAACAATTCATATGCTTCATCTACAAAGCCTTGCCTGCAAAGTCCATTAGTTGCTATGCTATATATGCGGGAATTAAGTTGCAAACAATTGTCCCTAGAGAGCTTAGAAAACATTTCCCTTGCCTCATCTCCCCTCCCTGCTTTCCACAATCCATCCAAAAGTATAGCGTACCCCACAACATCAGACTTCAACCTATTTTCTATTACTTGAAACAAAGCTAATGCGTCGTCAATTTTACCTCGTCGGCACAAGCCATCAAGCAAACTACTGTATGTCACAATATCAGGTAAGCAACCTGGACCACTCATTTTCTTGAGAATTTGTAGTGCGTCTTTGAGCCTTCCTGCTTGACAAAATCCATTTATCATAGTATTATATGTGATTGTATCCGGAACCAAATCCTTCTCAAGTATACTATTCAATAACTGTTCTGCTTCAGCCATCATTTCATTTTTACAATATCCATGAATCATGCGCAAACAATACCCATCCATCAAGCGGTAGGTTTGCATCGCCTATTGATAATGAAATCAAATACCTTTCTAGCTTTATCTAATTCATTGCGCAAACAATACCCATCCATCAATGAACGGTAAGTGACGATATCCGGAAGCAATCCACCTTGAATCATCATTTTGAGTATAACTTTAGCTCCCAAAACATTTCCTTCCTTACAGAAAGCATCAACCAATATGTTATAGGTGAATTTATCACGCGTTATCTTCCTATCTACCATTTTATTGAACAACTCCATAGCTTCATTAATTCCGCTTGAAATGCACAAACCATAAATCAAGCTATTGTAACTGAACACATCTGGTTGAATCTTTTCATCCTTCATCTCGGAAAAAACAACAAAAGCCTTCGATACCATTCCATCCTTACATAGGCTGCTAATGACTGTGTTATAACTAACGATACCAGGTTGACAGCCAAACTCCTTCATGTTTTGAACCAACCTTGCAGCCTCGATTACTTTCCCAACTTTACAGAGCCCGTCAATCAATGTATTGAGCATCACATCATCGAATTGAATACCGAATTTCAGAGCTTTGCTGAAAACTGCATATCCAAAATCTACTCGACCCAATTTACAGAAACAACGAAGCAACATGCTAAGCGTGTAAAGATTGTGTGGGACTCCAGCTAATTCCATTTGTCTAGACGCATAGAAGGCAGCCTGGAAGGCGTTCATTCTCATAAGAGAATTTACCAACTGACCAAATTTCACAACCGAAGGTCTGGGGTTCATGTGGAGCATCCTACTAAATGAATCCAAGGCATCGTCTACGCTGGCGAAAGTTACAGAATTGGAGGTCGCAGGAGTAGTTGAATTGGAGGCGAAGTAAGACGAGGGAGTAGCAGTCATACCGGTTTTCCTTCGCTGATGAAATAGAGAGCAGTTTCGATGCCGAATTGCGTTGAATTGAAAGCATTGGCAACGAGAGACCCTGACAACCATCAATAGATACTACCAGCTTTTCGCCTACCTTTCCCCGGAATCAATGATCCTATCATCCAAATCAATTTCCACCGCGAACCCAGAATGAAAGCTGCGAACTTGACATCGAATCGGGGACCCAACCAGAGAACAGGACTGAAAACGCAAACCACTGTGTAGCCGTCGGCGACGCGGAGCGCAAGAAGGTCGAGACTTGGTGAAACACTCGGCCAACGGTTCAGTTAGTTGCTGGATTGACATTGGGGCAACAGTGGCTGGAATGGATTTCCAGCATCGAACTTTGCTTTGGGCCCAGATTATTTGTGACACCGGATGGCTTCGGGCTTTTAATATTGGACTCTTATATATTCGGGTTTGTTATTTTCTTCTCTCACATCATATTCACGTAATTTGGCTTTTCCATTAATTGTGTTAGCGTCTAAATAAGGGTAGATTTGCATATCATAACAATCATCCGCTCGGATAAACAAGAAAGACAACAATCAACAAGAATCTAAAGAATGCAGAGATTTACGTGGTTTACTAACACAACGTGCGTTAGCTAATTCATGGATGGAAGAGAGCCAGCTTCATTATATATACTGGACATGATTAGAAATTACAGAGGAGTATTAAAAGTATATATATATAGTACTTCTTGAATAACCTAACCCTAATCCAATCTGGTAAAAGAATAATATTACACAAACCAGATCATGTAACTTCCGGTTTACGACTGAACATCCAATTCAAGTCACATCTAAAATGAATAAACTTGGTACAACAACGGCGAGAAAGGACAAACACCAACAAACAATCGAGAAAAGAAGAACAAGATAATACGCAAGTCTTACTTACCTTCTCAGCGTCTAGCACCAACTTCCAATGCCACGGCCCCGCCGCTTCCGTATATATACCCATGCCCAGGCGCACATAATAGTCATCTACCAACGTACATTCACACATGAGAAGAAGAACAAGAGGGGGGAAAAAAATGGCGCCAGTAGCATTATTTCTGGTAACTATTACCGTCTTCCTTGTCTTCCTTGCCACCACTACTACGTCTGTTTTAAGCGCCGTCGACCGTGATCGAAACAAAAAAGTGTGCCTTCCTCCTGCCGAAAACGGCTTGTTCAACACCGACTGCGGCAACGGATCAACGTTGCCTCCGGATACGCCATCGAACGTGCAGGTTGACGTGCTGAGCTTGCCCGGGAAGCAGCTGTACGATGCATACCAACAGGGTAACTACGATGCCTGCACCGTGGGAAATGTTTCCGGAATAGCATTCTCCGTTTACGGTGGTTGCAAATACGGGCTCGACAGCATTCGCTGCCAGAATTGTATACGGGACGCGACCCTCGTCATATATCAGTACTGTCGTGACAGCGTCGTGGCTCAGGCCGTGTCGGATTCCTGTTGCGTTCGGTACGACAGGGACTACACGATTTGTTAATAATCGAAACGTATCGGAGGAATAACGTACGTAAGTGTCTTTGCGTCGTCGTTTTGTCGTCGTCATATATTTTTACGATATGTGCGAGTCGTTTCGTTTCTGGAGTTTTCGCAGTGTCGAGCGTGTTATGATCGCGCCCGTTCTTTGTATGGTTCATAATTGAAACGTTTCGGAATAACGTACGCGTGTATGGTTTGTAAGGAAGTTTACTCTAGAATAAAATTTGTCACTTTTCTTTCGGCCGATAGCAAGTCCTTTCGTTTAAATCTTTCGTTGTTTCAAGCGTTATGATCGCACGCTCTTTGTATGGTTTGTAATTATCAGATTGAAAATCACTTTCCCTCTTTTTCAACGGTCATCTTCGCACACGAAAGCGTTTCACTCATCACCACTCACTTACATGATGCGCTACCGTTTCTTGCTTAGTCGAAGTTTACAACGATGTCGTTTTCTATTTCTTTGTTGACTGTACTTTCTTTTTCGCCAAGTCTGTAATGTTTCCTTTCCAAGCTACCAAACAAGCTTGAGAATGGAACTTGATATGATCCCAAATTGCCCACCATTCACGTCACAATTACTTGACAAAGAAGCTATCAAAGTTGGGAAGAAGAAAGGCAGAATTTGGCTAAGTCAAAATCCGTGTTCAGGGTACATATTTTGAAGGCATGGTTCTCTTAATTGGTTTGGTGGAAATTCAAGTTCAAGGGTTTTTTTTGTAGATAAAGTTTCCGTCATTCCAATGATATGTTTTTTGAAGCCAGAAGATGTCATTAAGGTTGTTTTCCAAGTCCTCAAAGTTGCTACCTCAAAACAGGAAAACTGCCAGAAAATGGCTAAGGCAGAAAACTGTTTTGTGAAGTCTACTTTGGAGCTTAATTCGGGGAGTATGGATCTGATTCAAGTCCAAAGGTTTCAACAACATGAAAATAGGTATGTTTATCTACCAAGGGAATGAATTGGATGAAGGATTGGAGTTCTGGAAGGCCTCGAACGAAAGGCGCGAAGTTAGTACAAAAGCTGCTTTTGGACTGTTGCTGGCAGCTTACTTGCGCTTGAAGAAAGGGAGTTTAAATCCGAATTTTGTAACCTTTTTAGAGTATAATTTTACCTTATTTGTTTCCTTGTTCATCTAGGTTTGTATTAGGTTTTCTTGGCTATAAATAGCCTTCTATTTACGTTGTAAAAACTAAGACTTTGATTAATCGAATTGAGAACCTTTTGGTTTTTGTGCAAGTTGAGACCTGTGTTGAGTTTGGTGGATTCCAAGCTCGTGAGCTCTTGTATCGATTGAATAGTCCCTTCAATCGTGGTCGGGCATCTACATTTTATACCAATCGAGCGTTCCCCAGGTGTGGAATCGTCCTTTCGGTTCCATTTTATCCAAGTTCGTATTAAGAACGCTTCGTTCTTGATTCGAGCTCAATCGGTCTTTTGATTGAGTCGTTAGCTGCGTGACTTTGATAACATACACCCCCCAGGGTCGTATTAAGTGGTATCAGAGCCACGTTCTACACAAGGGCTAGGAAGAGGCAAAAACGTGTTGATTCGTACAAGCATATTTTGTCGTAAAACAGGGCAGCCATGGTGGTCGAATTAGAACAAGCGAATTTGACGTCATATACACGCTGTTTGGTGGGAGGATAAGGTGTGCTCTGTGTACATCAATGAAGAGAGCAAATCAAACATGATTAGCTCACGAGCAGTGTCGAAATTGGGGCTGCCAATTCGAATGCATCCAGATCCTTACTCGACGTCATTGCTGGGAACATGAAGCTCTGTTTTTGTGACAGAGGAGGTGACCTTACCTTTCAAAATTGGAAGCTACGAAGATGTCGTTCGGTGCGACGTGGTGCCCCTGAAGAAGACTCATGTGGTTCTTGGTCACCCTTGGCATGTTTTCCACGATGCTCGACATAGCAGAAGCACCAACAGAATCCGATTGAGGAATTGCGGGAAGCGTATTGCTCTAAAGCTTCTGTCGCCAAAAGAAGCTGCAGAAGATCGAGCCACCCTGCTGCAACAGCTCCGTGACGAGGAGGAAAAGCTGCTGGAGGTTTCTAACGGAGTGCACTAGTTACGTAAGCAAGATATCCAGCTCAGTGAGGAAGTTCAGGCAACCGAACCCACTGCCCAGAACATCCCCTGTTATTTTTCCGCAACACAGAGTGCCGCGTTCAGTGTCTTGGCCATCGACGAGAAGGAAAACCCAGATGACGCTGAAGCGTCCAAAACATCTCTGGAGATTTCAGGAAGGCCGGCGAAGCGCGGAGAAGGCCCAGGGCAGGCCGCCGACGGACGAATCGATCTGATGACTAGCATCGCAGAACTACCCAATTCCTTGGCGAAACAGAGCAGGAGAGACGGACAATGGGGTGGAGCTCTGGGGAGCAATCCGACCCTACCCAAGGAACCTGAAACGTCACCTATAATATCGAGAAGCTCATGCCTCGATCAAATTGCAACGATTCCATCTGTTTTGCAGATGTTCGATCGAGCTGAAATCACTCTGCAAACGCGCCAACAGGGGAAAAAAATTCGCGAATGGGTTGGGATTTTTGGGAGTGAATCAATACCAATGGCCACTACAGAATCATCACATTCACTCCCTAGATGCTGTATAATCACTCAATTTGATTCGGAGAGGACGAAATCAAAAAGCCCCAAATCGAGATTGCACTTTCGGAGCCCTGGGCATTTGAAACTCGCCGAAGGCGGGAACTTCAAAATCGACGATTTACAGGCGCTGGTGATTAGTCCAAGCTGGAGACATAATCCAAGCTTCAATTGGAAGCCTTGCGAAGAGCTTGGAGAAGGTGAATTGGATTGGGGATGCCTCCATATAAAACCCCCAATTCCTTCGATCAAGAACATGTATGAAAGACAACCTGGGAATTTGGACGATCAATTTTCAGTGAAATTGGTCATTGCTACAGGTTCTAATCAATGTCAAGAAGTGTGCTTAACCTCGTTGCAAGTTCCAAACCTGCTGGAATGGATTGAAGCTGCCATTGATGATGTTAAAATTCTACAGAAAATTGTGTTTGAGCAGGCTTCTTTTAATCCAATTTGGGATCAATTATGGGCACGGTTTGAGCAACGAAAGGCTAAAGTGTTGAGGGAAACACTTTTTCAAGAGGGAGGGCCTGATATGATCCCAAATTGCCCACCATTCACGTCACAATTACTTGACAAAGAAGCTATCAAAGTTGGGAAGAAGAAAGGCAGAATTTTGCGAAGTCAAAATCCGTGTTCAGGGTACACACTTTGGAGGCATGGTTCTGTTAATTGGTTTGGTGGAAATTCAAGATTAAGGGTTTGTTTTGTAGATAAAGTTTCCATCATTCCAATGATATGCTTTGTGGAGCCAGAAGATGTCATTAAGGTTGTTTTCCAAGTCCTCAAAGTTGCTACCTCAAAACTGGAAAACTGCCAGAAAATGGCCAAGGCAGAAAACTGTTTTGTGAAGCCTACTTTGGAGCTTAATTCGGGGAGTATGGATCTGATTCAAGTACAAAGGTTTCTACAAAATAGGTATGTTTATCTACCAAGGGAAGGGATTCGATGAAGGATTGGAGTTCTGGAAGGCCTCGAACGAAAGGCGCGAAGTTAGTACAAAAGCTGCTTTTGGACTGTTGCTGGCAGCTTACTTGCGCCTGAACAAAGGGAGTTTAAATCCGAATTTTGTAACCTTTTTAGAGTATAATTTTACCTTATTTGTTTCCTTGTTCATCTAGGTTTGTATTAGATTTTCTTGGCTATAAATAGCCTTCTATTTACGTTGTAAAAACTAAGACTTTGATTAATCGAATTGAGAACCTTTTGGTTTTTGTGCAAGTTGCGACTTGTGTTGAGTTTGGTAGATTCCAAGCTCGTGAGCTCTTGTATCGATTGAATAGTCACTTCAATCGTGGCCGGGCATCTACCTTTTATACCAATCGAGCGTTCCCCAGGTGTTGAACCGTCCTTTTGGTTCCGTTTTATCCAAGTTCATATTAAGAACGCTTCGTTCTTGATTCGAGCTCAATCGGTCTTTCGATTGAGTCGTTAGCTACGTGACTTTGATAACATACACCCCCAGGGTCGTATTAGAACTTGTCTTCTTCCATTTTGATCTGCCTATAAAGAGCAGAAGATGCAATGAGAACAAACAGGTTTTAGGGTTTTTGCATTCCCAAACATCTCTTTGTTGAGGAATTTTACAATGCTATATAGTATTGGTGCTATAGGTTTTTACCTTTATGGTACAACTTGAAATTGTATCTTTAATGTTATGGTACAACTTAAGATTGTACCTATACTTTTTGTACAAATACTTTTATGGTACAACTTAAACTTGTACCTTATGTGATGGTACAACTTCAAGTTGTAAAGTTGTACCATAACATAATGATACAAATTGCTTTATGGTACAACCTAAACTTATACATTTAATGTTATGGTACAATTTCAAGTTGTACATTAAAGCACCAATACTATATAGCATAGTAGAAGTGCTCCTCTTTGTTAGTAATTGAAATGTTCGGAATAAAGTTTCTACCTATGTATAGTTTGTAAGGAAGTTTATTCTTGTCACATTTCTTTCCGATAGCAAGTCCTTTCAACTCTGGTTTCGCAATTTCAGGCGTTGTGATCACCCGCTTAAATTCAATTAATTAAGCATCAAGTTGATTAATCATACCTAACATCACTGTTAGTATGAAAATCGCACGAGCTAACCGAAAAGTATGATCGCGGACGGTTGGCGGTAACGGGGGCTAACCGGCAAAGCTAACCCCCTCTCAAAAATGCCGCCGCCCTCCAGTTTAGGCCCTAAACCCTAATCGAGCACGAGCAGAGACCCGCAATCTCTCATTCTCTCTAGTCTCTTCTGCTGCATCGCGCGAGACCCTCCTCCATCTCCCTGTCGCGGTGCCGCTGCCGCTTGTCGCTTGCCATCGCGAGAGTCGAGACCCTCCGCCAACGCGAAGTCGCCGCCGCCCGCCAGTTATCCCCTTCCTTCCGCCGCCGCGACCTCGACCTCCTCTGCTCGCAGCCAGCAGTCCTCCGCCGCCATTCCAGAACGGCGACCATTGCCCCTCTGCGCAGGCCATTGAATTATGTAAGTTTACTTTGTCTTTCTAAAAGTATATGATTTGGTTCTCGTTTCCAATTAGTATATGATTTCAATTGGTGAAGCTTGTTTGAATGAGATGAGATGGTCATCATAATTGTGAATCCCATGTTTTGGTATATAGAGGGACGGAGGGAGAACTTAGCTAGCAAGGCAAGTTATAATTGAGGCTCTAGATTAACGACAGAGAAAGAGACAGAGAGCTGATGTCTTGTCTTTCTTCTTCTCCTTGTTCTTCCTTCTACGAAAGAACAAAAATCAATAAAAACAGAGTCTCCTAGAATTAGCGGTGTTGATTCTGGACGCAGAGTAAATCCATTGTAGTGATTCCTAATTTTAACCAGTAAATATATTAGGGATCACTTCGTAATTTACCCGCTCCATGTTACACGTAGAAAGGAGCTAGGGTTTTGCCTTTTATAGGTCTCGGCTTTTCCCTTGTAGCCGATTATCACATTGTAACAAACAGCCATATTAGTCTTTTTCTCCGAGAGCTCCAAGCTCTCCATGGATTAGTCCCGTTCATATTGAACGGGATACCACGTAAATCCCGGTGTCTCGTTCTTGCTTTATTCGTTTCCTCGTATTTTACATGGTATCAGAGCTGGTCTAAGCTTGTACCTCGGCTGCCATGAGTTCAAGAGAAGAGGATTCTGGGAAGAAGTCGACGTTGTCGTCGACAATAGCTTCCGCTAGTGCTCAGGTCGCGCTGCCGCCCCATCTGCTTCTCCATCAGTCCGATAGTCCAAGTAATCTCTTTGTGGGGAAGCTCCTCAGCGACGTTAATTATGGTGAATGGAGCTCCTCATTGCAAGTAGGCTTTCAAATTGCCAAGGTTCCAGCTACTCCGAAAAAGACCAATCATGGGCGCCCTTAATCGATCTGTTGATTCGAGCGCGCTTAGGTGTATACAACCACGACGCTAACCCTCAAAGTTCACAGTTGTATGCTCGAATGAATACGATAAATTCTGTTTCTTATCATAATCGATGCATTTCTGTCAATCTCTTCCGTCCACTGTTCTCTGATATTTACGCAATCCTTAGATTGAGATGACAAAGAAGAGAGCTGCTTATGTCATATTCAAGTTCTTATCTTTCAATTAAAGTCACAAAAAGTGCCCAAATCAATGCTGGGTCTAGTATTTGGGATTTTTTAATAGCTGTGTTTGAGTCTGGTTATGGAGCCATTATGTGAGTCATGTTAGTTGAAAAGCTTTTAGCTCAAGGTAGACTCAAATGTAGGAAGTCTATTAGTAGTGGGATGGAAACCAGAAAATGATCTTTCATCCTCATCGAATCCTGATGTTCTTTGTTTGTTGCCTTGTGACCAATAGTTTTCAGGGTTGTCTTATTGTTAGAACTACGGTTCTTTAGGGTTTTAAATAAGAATTAGAGATTGAAACTGGGATGAATAGAATTGGGGATTTAAGAATTTAGAAGAAGAAATTGGAGATCGTAATGAAGAATTTACCTACGTCCTTAGAGGTAGGTGACGAATTGAGAGAAGAGAGATTAGAGTTTTAAGGAATAACTTGCACAATACTTTTCTTGATTAATTGAATGATTCTGAAGTGAACCCAAAGAACATATATATAAAAAATAAACTGGAAAAGTACGGCTACAACATAAATCCTAATAATAACTATATTTCTATCGCTTATAAAAAACCCGAACCAATAGTTAGGTCCTTCAACCCCAAGTTGTCCAGCTTCTTGCTTTGCACTTTTGGAATGGGTGGGGGGATTGTATTGTTTGAAGGAGGTGCTCTCGATTGACCATGCCTACGACGAGCCGTGGTAGTTTCCTGAACGATACTCCATTCTGACATCTGACTGTTTAGCTGTCGCAATAGTGAGGTTGGGAGAAATTGGATGTAATCATAGGTTGTTGAGCATCTCCCTTTCCAGATTCGCCAATAAAGGAAAACGAGAGAAGAGAGATCAGAAGCACCTAACCCTGCATCCAATCACAAATATCTCCATCCAATGGCAACTTTTAACATGCAGAAAACTTTTAACTAATCTCCAAATGAATATCCTTAACTTTGGCGAAACTGAGAGCCCAGAGTGCTTTCCAGGCTGAAGAATCAAAGATGACAGGGATGGTTGACAGATTCTTAACAAAGTCAGTAGCAGCAATGTGGTATCCAGATTTGACAGAGTACTCACCTGAGGTTTCATAATGCCAAACCAGTTTGTCCTCCATGGGAAGGTGAGGAAGTGGGATACTGAGAATTATCTTGGTAGTGGCAGCATCAAAGAGACTTTGAAGAAGGTCAGTTCGCCATGTCCCATTGGAATGATCAATCAATGAATTTACCTGAGTTGAGAACAGAGAGGCTTGCGCCAGTAGTTTCGGAATAGATGGTGGAGTGGTGGGCAGCCAGTTATCATCAAGAATATGGACTAAAGTGTCAGAGCCAATAGTCCATCGAAGCCCCTGCAGCAATAAGTCACGACCAACCAAAATCCCTTGCCAAGCCCAAGACGTCCGAGTACTAGGAGTAGCCTGGAAAAGCGGAACTTGAGGAAAATATTTAGCTTTGTACATTACAGCAATAGGACAATCTGGGTTCTGCAGAATACGCCAAGCTTGCTTGGCTAGCATGGCTTTATTATTACTGTCAAAATCTCGAAAGCCAATACCACCATTGTGTTTGTGACGGCACAAGGATCTCCAGGATGTCCAATTCATGCCTGCATCCCTATCTTGTTGGGCCCACCAAAATCTCGATAAGTGACCATTGAGCCGACGACAGAAAGTAACAGTCATCCGGAAACTTAGCATCGCATAATTAGGCAATGCATTTGCAATGAACTTTAAGAGGACTTCTTTGGCAGTAAGCGAGAGAGCCTTGGATTTCCATTGTTGCAGCCTAGTAATGAGCTTATCTTCGATAAATTGGAAGGTAGCCTGCTTGGATCGAGATATATGGGTAGGCAGCCCAAGGTAGCGGTCGTCTGTGTTACTTTCAGTCATCCCCAATAGATTTAGCATAGCTGCTGCATCTGTAGGAGACGTGTTGCTACTGAAGGTGACTGATGATTTTTGAAGATTCACCTTTTGGCCGCTAACCTACTGGTAAGAAGCAAACAACGCAAGGAGATTATGGCATTCAGGGATAGAAGCTCTTAAGAATAAGTAAGTATCATAAGCAAAAAGAAGATGTGATATCACCGGACATCGCCAATGAATTTTCATGCCATGGAGGAATTGAGCTTGCAGCGCCTGTTCAATGAAATGGGAAAACCCTTTAGTGTAGAGAGCAAACAGCAATGGAGATAAAGGATCTCCTTGTCGTCTGCCTCGTTCGGGATGGAAGAAACCATGGGGAGAACCATTAATTAAGACAGAGAATGAAACAGTTGAAACACATTGTTGTATCCAATTCAACCAAACATCACAAAAGCCCTAACGATGTAACAATGAAAATAGGAATTCCCATTCTACCCTATCGTAAGCTTTTTCCATGTCTAGCTTTAAGGCCATCCATTTTTCATGCCCAGAAGTCTTAGTTTTCAGAAAATGCTGAACTTCCTGCCCAATAAGTATGTTATCAGAGATTAATCGACCCATTATATTGTAGGTTTACTGAAGCCCTTTCTAACCACTCCCCATAACTCTTTATATCTATGTAGTTTTTCATAAGTAGGCTCCAATGATTGTAATCCTCGTCAAATCGAGGAACACACACTTGCATAAAACCTGATGCTTCAGTTATGTTCACTGCTCAAAATTCCATATCAGTCGAAACTTTAATATATGCGGCTCACAATCACTCATTTTTCTCTCATCCCACAATACTAATCTCATATAACTCTCATATTTCCCAAACCCATTATGAACTTAAGATAATAACTCTTTAATATGCACTCACAGACTAAACTTGGTACAACAATATGCCAATGCTCTGATACCGCAAGGTGAGCAATATTATAGAAAAATAACAAGCTTTTATTGATTATGACATGAGTTTAAATACAAGATCAAACTCTTCACTCAGCTTACCTACAACCCAAACCCACCACTTTCATGTTTTCAAGCTACTATCTCTAAGAAATTTACTAACTCTAAAAACTCCTAAGCTTGACTGCCAAGCTTGAACTCTTTCCCTACTAATAGCTAACACGTAAATTGTACTCAAAAGTTTGGGTACCAAACAACAAAAGAACAAAACGACACTGCTTTATTAGTTTTTCACTTTTTATTCCCTTCTCCATTATCCACAAGTAACAAAGGGAGGAGAAGATAGAAGTTTCATAGAGAGATGAGCAGTTTAGAGATACCGAGAAGAAGTTTCATATATCGAAAGCTGTTTAGAGAGAGGAGATGTTTTACAGAGAGAAGAATCTGGTTTGTAATGTAACTCATATCCGTTTGTACTTTCGATAAGACTTAAGAGGTCCTACAAACACCATTTCACTGTGATCTTTTCCATCGAATATACACTTCAAGTAGTCACAATTTGTAATGGCAAAAGTTTATGATTTACAGCATAAGTTCCTTATTTTTTTTAATATAAAATTATTATGCTCGGTAATGTACGTCTTATTTATTTGTACTGTAATTAGCCATTAATTTGTAATGACAAATTAGAAGACTATGGTTTGTAATCTAAGTCTTATTCATTTGCAGTGTTAGGAGTTTGTAATGTAAATTATTATTGTTATGTAAGTCCTATCAATCTATATGGAAAATTGTCAAATTTGTAATGGAAAAAGATTATGACTTTTGATGAAAACTAGTAAAGTTTGGAATTTAAGTCATACCCTTTTGTATTGTAAGTAGTTTGTAATGTAAATTAGTTTGATTTATTTGTATTATAAGTTCATTGTTTTTCTTTCATTTTTCTCTCATTTCGTTAAATTTTATGACTTTTTTTTATATCATTTTATTTTTTGTGGCGCAAATAACTTCATTTTTTGTATTTGATATTGCCCCCTTATTTATCTCTTTCGCGATTGTAGTACTCATCGAAGAACAAGAGAATCATAGTAATAAAGTTTCAACAATTCAAATCAAGTTGCACAAACAAAAATGATTTTGCAAGTTTACTTTTTTTGTTTGTTGTTCCCTAATCGATACATATTCATTGACTAGCGAGTCCATTTTTATTGTCTTCAATTTATTCCAAAATGCGTTTTCTCGATTCTAATTTAGCTGCTTAGATGTCCCTATTTGTGGAATCTCTTACTATGATTGATTTTATCACATGTTACTTTTTTCATAAAACGAGAGTTAGGCCTGCGGTTTTTTGAATTTGTGTTCCTTACGTATTAGTTTATTCCCTCTTACAATCACATGTAACCTTTCACATCACACGCTTGTGGCTTGACACGAAACGCAGTGAGCGGGTTTCTCTAGTTAATATTTAATAGTAAGGAACTTCAACACATACAATTGTCATATATCGAAAAATACACAATATAAATGACAATTTTGCTGAAGGTTGATATCTATATTGATATTATCCCTAAATTATATGTGAATTTACTGAAATCACTTAAAATTTTAATTTTACTACATACTTTACCTATAAAAAATTGTAAATAGATATTAATATCAATTTCTCAAATAATTTTACTATATTTATCATAGTTTGTGTCTCAAATTTTCATTAAAAATCAATGTTTCAAGTGTTTTCCTTTAATACATACACATATGAGTTGACCTGCCCAACTCAAGCCCCAAAACAAAATACTCGATCCGGACTCGACTTGTCATGAAACATATATGAGTATCGAGATACATGCTCGACCTAGTCATTGCCATTCCCACTCCTACGCCCTACCAATGCTTAATTCATAAATAGATTAATTATTAAACAATAAGTGAGATTTAATGAGTGATGGAAAATAAAGTCACTCGGAGACAGCGGATTCAAAGTGTTTAGGAGGGAACACGATGGTGTACGAGTCGCCGGTCCAGCAGCTGGGGTTCAACACGTCGGAGAAGTTGTATTGTGGCAGAGAGGCACCGGCGGCGCTGGAAGGCAGAGTTCCAATTAAGGGATTTGGGGAAAATATGCAGTTATGCTACTAAACAAGCGAGCTACGTTCATTCATATCTTTAAACAATAATCACAACTAGCTTAAAACACACTAATGCATCAAACATGGATTATCATCTATTCCCATGCTAACATTGATCGGTTCTTTCTGATATCAGCAAGTATGGAAACACATAAGTGGGATCATGACTCGGACCTCTAGTTCGTGTAACCTTCTATCATCAGAATGTTCTTGACACAGAGATTTTGATCAACTACTGGACCATCCAACTGGTGTTTGGATGATAATTTCAGCAAGTTCCTTCAGTTGCAGCAGCTGATAGACCGCCAGACCCAATGTTACGACTCCTGATATCAGGACCACTCATTAGGTTGACAGCCAAACTCCTTCATGTTTTTGAGCAATTCAAGTCCTGCACTCGTTTGCCCTAGCTTGCATAATCCATCTATAATTATGGTATAAGAAAAAGCATCCGGATGATAACCCAAAATCCTAATCTTATGAACCAACCTTGCAGCCTCGATTACTCTCCCAACTTTACACAGCCCATCAATCAGTGTACTGAGCATTACATCATCGAATTGAATACCGAATTTCAGAGCTCTGCTCAAAACTGCATAGCCAAAATCTACTCGACCAAATTTACAGAAACAACGAAGCAACATGCTAAGCGTGTAAAGATTGTGTGGGACTCCAGCTAATTCCATTTGTCTAGACGCATACAAGGCAGCCTGGAAGGCGTTCATTCTCACAAGAGAATTTACCAACTGACCAAATTTCACAACCGAAGGTCTGGGGTTCATGTGGAGCATCTTACTAAATGAATCCAAGGCATCGTCTACGCTGGCAAAAGTTACAGAATTGGAGGTCGTAGGAGTAGTTGAATTGGAGGCGAAGTAAGACGAGGGAGTAGGAGTCATACCGGTTTTTCTTCGCCGATGAAATAGAGAGCAGTTTCGATGAATGATCCTAGCCATGCTGAGCTGCTGAATTGCGTTGAATTGAAAGCATTGGCAACGAGAGACCCTGCCAACCATCAATAGACACTGCCAGCTCTTCGCCCACCTTTCCCCGGAATCAATGATCCTATCATCCAAATCAATTTCCACCGCGAACCCAGAATGAAAGCTCCGAACTTGACATCGAATCGGGGACCCAACCAGAGAACAGGACTGAAAACGCAAACCACTGTGTAGCCGTCGGCGACGCGGAGCGCAAGAAGGTCGAGACTTGGTGAAACACTCGGCCAACGGTTCAGTTAGTTGCTGGATTGACATTAGGGCAACGGTAGCTGGAATGGATTTCCAGCCTCGAATTTCGCTTTGGGCCCAGATTATTTGTGACACCGGATGGCTTCGGGCTTTTAATATTTGACTGTTATATATTCGGGTTTGCTATTTTCTTCTCTCACATCATATTCACGTAATTTGGCTTTTCCATTAGTTGTGTTAGTTAGGGCTGGAAAACGGTACGGTGTGTCTAAATAAGGGTACATTTGCATATCATAACAGTCATCCGCTCGGATAAACAAGAAAGATAACAATCAACAATAATTAGGGATGGCAACAAAACCCAAACCCACGGCCACGGGTACCCACCCGACCCAACTCGGTCAACGCGGGTAAAACCCGTGTTGACGGGTTTTGGGCCGGGTTCGGGTTTAAACTCGCTACACTATTCACCGGGTCGGGTTGGGTTTGGGTTTAGGTAAACCCGTCCCATGGGTACCCGCCCACACACATATAATTACTTTCCCGGTATATTTAATATTCTAAATAATATATCTTCCTTAAACAATTAATATTCTTTATGTTTGTGGAGACATATATAATTTGTTCTTTCTAATTGTTTAGAATGAAGTTGATATTATGAAGTAATTGTTTAGAATGAAGTTAATATTATGAAGTGGAGAGTGAAGAAACTTAGTTGACGAGGAAGAAGCTTTCAATTAATCTAATTGTTTATAGATGTTTATCTTTAATTTTGAACAATTTGTATTGATAATTTGGGGTTTGCTTGTATGCTCTAGATTGGTGTTTTTTGTATGATTAGTTTGCATGAGAAAATTGATGTTAAACTTTTATTTTGAAAGAAACTTGTTATTGTAAATTTTTTACCACAAAAACCCACGGGTACCCATGAACCCGCGAATACCCAGCGGGTTGGGTTGGGTTTGAGTTTTTCAAACCCAACGGGTTTTACCCCGGGTTTTTTTGGCGGATAAACCCATGGGTTTGGATTTGGGTTTGACAAAACCCGCCCCAACCCGACCCATTGCCATCCCTAACAATAATCTAAAGAATGCAGAGATTTACGTGGTTTATTAACACAACGTGCGTTAGCTAATTCATGGATGGAAGAGAGCCAGCTTCACTATATATACTTGACGTGATTAGAAATTACAGAAGAGTATTAACCCAAAGTATATATATATATATATAGTACTTCTCGAATAACCTAACCCTAATTCAATCTGGTAAAAGAATAATATTACACAAACCAGATCATGTAAGTTCGGGTTTACGAGTGAACATCCAATTCAAGTCACATCTAAAATGAATAAACTTGGTACAACAACGGCGAGAAAGGACAAACACCAACAAACAACCGAGAAAAGAAGAACAAGATAATACGCAAGTCTTACTTACCTTCTCAGCGTCTAGCACCAACTTCCAATGCCACGGCCCCGCCGCTTCCGTATATATACCCATGCCCAGGCGCACTTAATAGTCATCTACCAACGTACATTCACACATGAGAAGAAGAACAAGAGGGGGAAAAAAAATGGCGCCAGTAGCATTATTTCTGGTAACTATTAACGTCTTCCTTGCCACCACTACTACTACGTCTGTTTTAAGCGCTGTCGACCGTGATCGAAACAAAAAAGTGTGCCTTCCTCCTGCCGAAAACGGCGTGTTCAACACCGACTGCGGCAACGGATCAACGTTGCCTCCAGATACACCATCGAACGTGCAGGTTGACGTGCTGAGCTTGCCCGGGAAGCAGCTGTACGATGCGTACCAACAGGGTAACTACGATGCCTGCACCGTGGGAACAGTTTCCGGGATAGCATTCTCCGTCTACGGTGGTTGCAAATACGGGCTCGACAGCATTCGCTGCCAGAATTGTGTACGGGACGCGACCCTCGTCATATATCAGTACTGTCGTGACAGCGTCGCGGCTCAGGCCGTGTCGGATTCCTGTTGCGTTCGGTACGACAGGGACTACACGATTTGTTAATAATCCAAACGTATCGGAGGAATAACGTACGGACGTGTCTTTGTGTCGTCGTTTTGTCGTCATCATATATCTTTTTGATATGCGCGAGTCGTTTCGCTTCTGGGGTTTTCGCAGTGTCGAGCGCGTTATGATCGCGCCCGTTCTTTGTATGGTTCGTAATTGAAACGTTTTCGGAATAACGTACGCGTGTATCTCTTAAAATATATTAAAGGGCTTTTAGATTTAAGCCACTGCCACGTACTCCTCCTGTAATTTGAGGCTATCCACGTCAGACTATAAAGAAACTGTTCCCCGCAGAGAAACCGTCGTTTCTTCCGCCGCTTTGTGTCCTCCATCCGCCAGAATTCGTCACCGTAAAAGCCTCCCGTCACCCGCCTGCCCCATACCTATGGAGAGTGAATTCTGCCTCCTGCCACCGCATGCGCCTGTCCCATTACCAGTTCTCATATCCCCGCCTTGCGCTCTTCCGACACACCCTATAGTCGTTTAATTTGCCCACTCCATCGATTCTACAATCTCCCTCCAAGTCCCCAACCCCACCTACTTCGACGTCCATCTCCCTCTTCCTCCTGCAAGGCAAGGCGCCACGGTAGCCCGTCAAACTGCCCTCATAATCTTCGTCAAGAAGGAGGTGTCTTCCTATGTTTCTTTCGACTTCAATTTTCAATTGAGATGGGTTTCCTGTTCTTTTGCTTGGTTGTTTCTAGGCCTTGAATCTTAGATTTTGGGTAGGATTTAATGAGAGGAAGGCGGGACGTTTGAGTACATTGTTTGGCTTTTGATAGTTCCAATCTGGTACTGCTTGATTTCGATGTTGTCAAATTTGTGGGAAGGACTTTCTTCTTGCCGTTAAGTTTTGTAATCACTTGAAAATTGAGGGTTCCTTTTTGGTTTATTTGTTGCTTCTCTTACTTGCATGGCTTCGCTGCTCCTATTACATTGCTGCTTTAATTCCTTGCTCACTTTCCCAGATATGACAAGACAATATTGACTGAATCCCATTGCATCTCGAGACAAATGGACAGACTTACACACAACAAGTTGATCCACAAATGCATAGGACGCGCACAAAATCAGTACCACTTTGAGTTTCTAGGGGATACTGTTCAATGAGATTGTTGTTCTGCTATGAGTTATATATAACTTGCATAGATTGGCTACCCTCTTTCCACTAGCAATAAACTCAAGTACTCGAGGAGGAGAAAGCTAGGGATAATCCACAACTGCACTACTTGAGTTGAGAAGGGAAAGCAAGGGATGATTATATTCACTGGTAAACCTTTATTTCCATCTTTGTAGACTGCTCGATGAAATGTTTTGTTGTTTCTGCTATGAATTATAACTTTCATAGACTGGCGATACACTCTTCCCAGTAGCAATAAACACAAGTACTCTGAGGAGAAAGCCAGGGATATCCACAAGACCACAACTGCAAGGGAAAGCAAGGGAACATTTGCATGTATATCTTTATTTCCAGTTTGTACATGAAATTTTGGAACTTAAGTGACTTGAATCTATTTTGCAGACCATCAAAGATCATGAAGGCAACATCAAGATTATGTCCACCAGCCCCAAACCTCCGAAGTCCAAAAAACACTGACACTGCCACAACATAGAAAACTAACCTAAAAAACTAACCAGAACTCTACCACTAGAGCCTTGAAAATGGTCAAGACTTGATGCATTGAGTTACAAGAAGCCCAAGCGTACTTTGATTCTAATAGAATAGGGTGACAGTACCATAATCACTTGCCATAGTGTGCTATAATGCCACCGACTACCAAACATCTCCAACCAATGCAACCTTTATATATTTACATACATTGCTTTACGTAGAATTTCATGTCAATAACTACAACTGCTTATATGTTTAACACATTAGCTTATAAATAACTTACATAAATCTAATACCAATTGTTTCCTCATAAGAGCAATAAAGAACATGCAAACACTTCTGTTCAACCAAAAAAAAAAAAACACAACTCAACAAATCGTGACACATTAGACGTTAGGAAGTTTATACTCTAGAATAAAACTTGTCACTTTTCTTTCGGTCGATAGCAAGTCCTTTCGTTGTTTCAAGCATTATGATCACACACTCTTTGTATGGTTTGTAATTATCAGATTGAAAATCACTTTCCCTCTTTTTCAACGGTCATCTTCACAAACGACAGCGTTTCACTCATCACCACTCACTTACCTGATGATATGATCCCAAATAGCCAACTGTACACGTCACAATTACTTGACAAAGAAGCTATCAAAGTTGGGAAGAAGAAAGGCAGAATTTGGCTAAGTCAAAATCCGTGTTCTGGTGCTTTATCACCTGATGCGCTACCGCTTCGTGTTTAGTCGAAGTTTGTAACGATGTCGTTTTCTATTTCTTTGTTGACTTTACTTTCTTTTTTGCCAAGTCTGTAATGTTTCCTTTCCAAGCTACCAAACAAGCTTGAGAATGGAACTTGTCTTCTTCCATTTTGATCGGCCTATAAAGAGCAGAAGATGCAATGAGAACATACAGGTTTTAGGGTTTTTGCATTCCCAAACATCTCTTTGTTAGTAATTGAAATGTTCGGAATAATGTTTCTACCTATGTATGGTTTGTAAGGAAGTTTATTCTTGTCACATTTCTTTCCGACAGCAAGTCCTTTCAACTCTGGTTTCACAATTTCAGGCGTTGTGATCACCCGCATAAATTCAATTAATTACGCATCAAGTTGATTAATCGTGCCTAACATCACTGCTAGTATGAAAATCGCACGAGCACATATACCCATATACATATACGTACTATCTTCAATCCGTAGCTAATCCTTAATTCTCCTTCTCGAATCTCTAATTCACTTCTAAATCTCTATTCAACCCCTAATTTCTCAATTTCGCAACCCGAGACACCCTAGATTACGGGTTTCTATCGGGACTAGATAGTGTGACAACACCCATTGTGTTGTTATTGTAACAACACTAGTCTCCAACTAATAGGAAGCTAGGGTTTGTGATGACTTTTTATTAACTGAGTTGACCTAGTGTAAAATCAAAATAAGGGTATAATTGTCATTATGAAAATATGTTTGAATAATAATTAAAAAATATTTTTTTATTTTCGGCCAAAAATTTGCTCGTTGAAATTCGGCCACCGATCGCCGGAATCTGGTCGTCGGTCGCCGGAATATGCTTTTTGTCATCGTTTTATGTTATTTTGTCGCCGGCATATGCCCACCGTCGTCGGAATCCAATAATTATGGTCGGAATATGCTTACCGGCGTCGGAATCTAGTCATCGGGGCCAGAATATGTCTATCGGCATCTGCTCACTGACGGTCATCGGAATTTGGTCAACGATTTTCGTTGATCGGTTAACGGTCAACGGTCAACGACCACCGGATATTATGGTCTGCATTGTGAGATTTATGGTTTGGTTTCCCTTGCTTTTTGTATGTTATTTGTGGTTTGCTTTATCGTGTTTCTGGTTTGCATTAAGAAGTTTCTGGTGAGCTTTAAAAAAAATTTGTGATTTGCTTTGAAGGGTGACGACTCTTCTCTCTTATTAAAGTTCATCGCTGCGTCGACTGCGTGAAATTGTAGATAACAAGCCCTTTACTTTTGGATCAAAATTCAAACTATTAATCTTTAAAATGTCATATTCTCGCTCATACGCGAAGCGACAACGAGTGGCCTTATGCTAGTAAAAAATAAAAATAAAAACGTCAACAGAACTTGTAGGTATCGTACCGAAGACAACAGTCCGCCGATGAGGCCTGAGCCCCGACAGCGCCGGGGCAGTTGGCACGAAGGGTGAGGGTGGCGTTCCCTCCGCAATTCTCGCACCCTTCGTCTCCGAGGCCGCCCTTGCAACGAGCGAAGACGAAGACCTCCTTTCCTCGATAGTCGTTACCCCCGCTGTTACCGCTGCTAAAGGTCCCGTTTTAGCAAACATCCACATAATTAGTACCCTCTCTGAATCTGATCTTCCACTGCAGCTCGGACTGGACGAAGAGCAGCACTCCGACCTGCACGTTCGATTTCGGGAACCTCGTTTCGTTCCATTCGTAGTTCAGATTGCCCGGTGGCCCGCTAGGAATGCACACTTCGTCATCTTCAGCGTGGCTTGCAAGAAACGCTGTGGCGAAGAAGAGGAGGATGGTGATGGCTGTTATTATCGAGAGAAAGGCTATTGCTGCCATTTTTTTATACCTCTTCTTTTGGTATGGATATTAGTTACGTTGGCGAATGTATATAATAGAGAGCCCAGTTGGTTAATTGTGGCATCAATGGAGGGAAAGCCTAGGGTTTGGTGTTGTCAACAATTATTACGTGAAGAGTTCTTCTTTCCACTTTTGTTGTGCACTGGGGTTTGTCTTGATCTTGGGTATCTCTCAACTTAAAGTATTGATCGTTAAATAAGTTAAATAAGTGATGTGTTAATTAAAATCGTATCTTTCTTGTACAGCTCATACTATTATACCTCCATCCTTTGTATTTTTGTAGTAATCTTTTCAAAGAGCGAGGCCTACATGCTTTAACAGAAAGCATATATGCCTGGAATTAAAGGAAGACCCATATATCTTTTTGGAAATGTGCCCAGAGCACTTAATGACTTAATGTCATACTTTGCAGCCATTCTATTGGAAAATTACCACAAAACAATTCACGCTTAGCTGCATTTGAGACAAGACCAGACAACACTCTGGAACTTGCTATGACAAATTGTACGCATTGAATTCCAAAATTAGAACCACTAGAAAATAACTATAAGTGACCATCAAACATTAGAGGAGTTAAGATTAATTATTTTTGTACACATTGGAGGAAAAAGAAGTATAATTTATTTCCTTTACCAGATTGGATCAGGTTTAAACCAACATGGAGAAGTACTATAAATACTTCTCATCTCCTCTGTAATCTGTAATATTCACGATATAGTGAAACTGGCTCTCTCTCGCCCGTGGACTAGCTAACATACATCGTGTTAGTGAACCACGTAAATCTTGTGTCGTGTTTTCGATTCTCACTTTCGTATTCTTATTTTCTCGATTCCGGCAATTTTTCGATACGTAACGTTTATAACAACCACCCTCATTAAACTAGTAAACACCCATCAATTGCCACTGGAATCAAGGGGATAGAGTCTTCTTGCTTCAGCTCTTTTTTAGCTGAAAAATTATTATTAATTTAATAGGTTTGACAAATAAAAAAGAATGTTGGAAAAGTTTGACTAATAGTTAGTAGTTACTATTTACACAAAAAAAGTATTCTTATGCAGATTTCAGATCCTTAGGCTCACTTGAGATTTGT